ATATTTTTGTCAGTTTTTAAAAAATTATAATTCTATTTTAGTTTATCTATTGAATTTTTAGTGGTTGTTCTAGGGATTAAAATACATATTCTTGATCTTTCACAATCTATTTAGAGTTAATTTCATACTATCAGGTATAAAATTTTAAAACCTTGCAACTATATAAGTCCATTTACCATCCCCCCTATTCTTTATGCTATAATTTTCCTATGCATTACCTTTACACACATTACACTTAAAAAACATAATAAATGTTATAATTTTTGCTTTAACAGGTTCTATGCATTTTAAAGATTTTAAGATAAAAAACATCCTTTTATATTTACAATTTCTGATATTTTTCATTCCTTCTTGAAGATTTAAGATTCCATCTAGTTTTATCTCACTTCAACCTGAGTAACTTCCTTCAGTATTTCTTGTGGTGCAGGTCCACTGACAAATTCTCTGCTCTCTTTTATCCAAAAATGTCTTTAATTTTCTTTCATTCTCAAAGGATATTTTCACTACACATAGAATTCTGGGTTTAAAATGCTTTGCTTTTTCCCCCTCCATACTTTGAAAATATCATTTTACTCTTTCTGGTCACTGTAGCATTTTGGGGGGTAGGGGGGTAGCTGGCCAGTACAGGGATCTAAACCTGTGACCTTTGTGTTATAAGGCTGCACTCTAAACAACTGAGCTAACCAGCCTCTGTAACTGCTGATAAGAAGTCAATGCTCATTTAAAGCATTGTTCCTCCAAAGATATTGTGCCATTTTTCTTTGGCTATCATCAAGATTTTCTCTTTATTGTTGGTTGTTGGTGCTCAGCACTTTGAATATGATATGCCTAGGCACAGTTTTCTTTAAATTTATCCCATCTGGGGTTGCTGGGTTTCTTGATCTGTAAATTCATGTATTTCACCAAATTTGTGATTTGGGGGCCATGATTTCTTCAAATATTTTTCTGTTTCATTCTCTTTTTCTTCTTCTGAAACTCCAATTACATGTAAGCTAGATATTTTTATTATTGTTACACAGATCCCTGGGGCTCTGTCCATTTTTTTCTATTTAGTTGTTTAAATCTTTTTTCTTTCTGTTCTTCAGAAAGAAAATTTCTAGGGATTTATCATCAGGTTCACTGACACTTTCCTCTGTTACCTCCAATTGCTGTAAGCCCACTCAGTGAATTTTTATTTCAAATATTTTACTTTTCACTTCTAGAATTTCCATTTGGGTTTTTTTTTTTTTTGTAGTTTCTATTTACTACCTTCTTATTCATTATGAGTCTATTTTCCTATTCTTCATGGAGCATGACTATAATAGCCACTTTAAACTTTTGTCTGTTAATTCTCACATCTGGGTCATCTTGGAATTGATCTCAGATAATTGCCTTTTCTCTTCAAAATGGGTCACATTTTCTTGGCTCTTCACATGTTATGTAGTTTTGGACTACATCATATGAATGCATGAATGTAAATATTATGGGGTGAATACTTTAAATTCTATTATAGTTCTCTAAAGAGTATTGATTTATTTGTTTTAGCAGGCAATTAACTTAATTATACTCAAATTGAAAACTATCTCTTGGGAGGCGGCTCAAATCTCAGTTCAATTCTTTCAGTTTTAACTCTGCTAATTTGTGTCTGTTCTATGCATACGTGGTTCAGGGATCAGCCAAAAATTTGAGTAGCATTTATACACAGAATTGACAGCTTCTCCTCTCTGCCTCTCTCCTTTCCAGGATTCTAAACTCGTTTTCCAGTGGGTGTGGTTGCCCTGAACTCTGTTCTTTGGGTCTTCAAACTGAAAAGACTGCGGGTTTTCTATTGGAGTTCAGCCACCCCAAGTGACATTAACTGCAGCCTGCCCTCAGTCTAAAAGCTGTAAAATGGGAAACCCACTCTGCACTGGGCCATACTTCCAAGTTTTGAATTTGAACTCCCATCCAGAATCTGCCTGCTTATTTTTGCTCTCTAGTGCCTCCAGGTTTTTTGGGTTTTTTGTTCGTTTGTTTTTTCTTTTTGTCCATACTTTATAGCTCATATCTCTGAGAATATCAGGTCCAATAGAGCTTACTTTGTCATACTGGAAGTGGAAACAAGCAAAAACATTTAGGAAACCCTCCTTTGGATTTCCTAACTGCTCCACAAAATACTTAATCTCTATCCATTACCTCATCTAGTAATACTTGGTTTTAGTTTTAAGTAGAAACAGAAGTCAGACTCAGGGCTTCCTTGATCATCTTGCCAAGTACATGAGAAGATTTTGAATGAAAGCACTGCGTAATGTTAAATGATAAAATGATAAAACATCAATCAGATCTGGCTCCTAGACTGGCAGCATTTAATCTCAAAGCAATGAGGCTTGTACAGGATCGTAACTACCAAAGATAATCTACATGGTACTTTGTCATGTTATTTTACCTTATTTTTTGGTCCCAGATATATCTATATCCTGCCTCATTGAAAATTGCAATAGGTAATATCCTAAGAGAAATAAATTTTAAAAGTCCTGAAGTACCAACACAGAGTTGGTTAGAGAAAAATTCCTTCTAATAATAATCATTATGGCTTCCATTTCTTGAGAGCTTCTGTATGTCAGGCATCTTGCTAACCACTTCACATAAATTGCCATTTAATCCTTCATAACATTCTATGAAATTGTTGCTATAACTAGCCTCATTGTACAGATGAAGAACTCAGAGTTCAGAGAGGGTAAGTCAGTTGACTGAGATAACACAGTAAACAGCAGAAATCTAAGTCCTCTTAAAAATAAGAAACAGCAAAGAGGGGGTCTTTGGAGTCATTAGGCACATGCCCTTTATGATTAGGAGAGAAAAGAGATGTGTTTCTAAGCAAAGAGGAATAAGTGGGGTTTCTAAAACTTAAAAACAGTCTACAACTCCTCTTTCCAAGAATTACTGACATTAAAAAACTGCCCTTTCAGCTATATATCTCATATTGACAGCTTTCACGTTTAAAAGCCTTGCTTCGGGGCTTAAAACATTAACGAGAAAAACAGTAACACAAGGATCAAATAATTACATGCAAAGACATAGTAAAGAGGCATGAAATACCAGTGCTCCATTTCATCTCATTTCATTTACTGCCTTTAAACCTCCTTTGTTTTCCACGTAAACACTCTAGACAGGCAGATTATTCACCAGAGAAAAATCAGACACATTAGGAAGTGAAGATGCCTGCCTCAAAGTGCTCCATTTCATCTCATTTCATTTACTGCCTTTAAACCTCCTTTGTTTTCCACGTAAACTCTCTAGACAGGCAGATTATTCACCAGAGAAAAATCAGACACATTAGGAAGTGAAGATGCCTGCCTCAACCCCCAACAACCTGCATTTGGTGAGTATGAGAAGTCTTCAAAAAGTCCATGGAAGTATTCATATTATCTTTTAATTCTATTTTTCCACAAACTTTTCGAAGTACCCTCGTACTTGTACAAGATGCAGCAATGTCTCATAGTCCTTCAAATTCTAGGGGCAATCCTGCCCAACTTTCTAAATTTTCCATAAACCCATGGGTTTTAATTGAGCATGGAATGAGAAAGAAAAGAGGACAGGACCTAGGATAAGTAGGCAGACAATGTAAACTGGATACAAGAGACTGGGTTTCAACTGGAAGCAAGAAAAGAAGTATAGTATCTTTGTGTTCTGGCACATGGAGCTATTCAACATATATATTTATTATACATGCTAAATTGTTTGCTGAGTCTTAGGAATGGAAGACTTTGTTAAGAGGGTATATTAGTCTGTTTCTGTTGCTTATAACAAAATATACAGAACTGGGTGATTTATAAAGAAAACAAAATTTATTGCTTACAGTTTCTGAGGTTAGGAAGTCCAAAGTCCAGGGAACACATCTGGTGAAGACTTTGGTGGTGGCAACAGTGATGGCAGAGTATCACATTGCAAAAATGGTGGAGCAGAGAGCAGAGAGAACAGAGAGAGAAAACAGAGAGAGAGAGAGAGAGAGAGACTCTCCTCTTCTTTCAAAGCCTTCAGAACCACGCCCCTGACCACCATTTTTAATCCATTCACTACTGCGTGGTCCTACAACCCAATCACCTCTTCAAGGCACTACCTTTCAATTACCATAATAGGATTTCCCACCCTCTTAACACATTCACAGTGGGAGCTAAGTTTCTAACACATAAAACTTAGGGACACAATTAAAGCTTCAATGAATTTTGGGGGGACACAATTCAATCTACTACAGGGGTAAAGAAGAAGAATGACAGAAAAGGAGAGGAGTATGTACCCGAGTCCTAGGGAGGGGTTGAATGAACCCAGTCCACTGACAATATGCTGGGGAAATTACCAGATTAGTACATTTCTCCTCCTTCACTGCTGTTTTTAAAAATATATATTCATTTTATACAGTGAAATCATTCAAAGATGTATAAAGACAAGTGATTACTTTACGCTGTCTTCAAGCCTCTTCATAAGATCTATCCTTCACTGTCCCAACACATGCTACTAGGACTTCTGACCAAGAACGATTCCATGACATTTTAGAAGATATGTCTCATAACAGAGCCTTCTCCTGCTACCACTAATTGCATTTCAATTCCACTTTCATCTTCAAATCCATGTGAAGCACAACAAGTTGACTTTGTAACTGTTTAACCTTACTTTTTTATATATATAAAAATTATTAAATATGGTAACTGCCTAGTGGGGGGAGAATAATATAATGGCATGTCAATCGGGTAACAAGTAAGCTACATTTCATGGAAAGGAAAGGTATTGCTTTCTTCCAAAAATGAAGCCATCACTTTTTTATTTAACTCACATAATATTTATAGCCCAATTTTTAAAAATGGCAGCTACAAATAGAAGTCGAGAGAGGGTAAATTCTCCCAGGGAATCTAGCCTTGAAATTTTACCATTTTAAAAGTTCTATCTTATGTGTACATAGGAACATTACTACTATTATAAAGATGCCCATAGCAGGTCAATTACATCAAACTCTTTGAAAAATATTTAAAATTAAGTAACACTACCTTTCAGACTACTGCTCCGTCCCGGGAGTCCTCTATGGCAGGATGCACAGAGCTTTTGTAGCAGGTCTAAGCAGGCAGGTAGTCCTGGGATACCTACACCACAAAAGAGAGGTTCAGGTGATGATTTTGGCAGCACACAGGGAGGAAGCCATGTGATGACAGAGATTGGAGTTAGGCAGCTGCAAGCCAGAGAATGACAAGGACTGCCAGCAAACCTCCAGCAGCTAGCAAGAGGCAAAGAAGTGTTCCCCTGAAGACTTCTGAGGGAACATGGCCTTGGTGATACTTTGATAGCAGACTTATAGCCTTCAGAACTCTGAGACGATAAATTTCTGTTTGTTTTAAGCCACGCAGTTTGTGGTACTTTATTACGGCAGCCCTAGGAAATGAATACAGTAAATTTGGAGAGATAGTTGAATGTTTAAGCAAGAAGATCAAGAAAGATCTCACTGAGAGGGTAACACCAGAGGAAAGACCTGAATAAGCTGCAGACGGCAGCCACCAAGATGGCTCTGGGTGAAGAAATTCCAGGCATGGTGAATAGAAGGTCCTCAGCAGGCGCACGTTCATGTATTAGAAGTACAGCAGGGAGGCCAGTGTGGCTGAACAGCAAAGGGAGAGCGGTAGGCAATGAGGTCAGAGCGGCGACAGGAAGCTGGACGTTGGGGGACCATAATTATGGGCCACTATAAGGACTTGGGCTTTTACTTAGAGCAAAGTGGGAAGCCATTGCACAGTTCTGAGCAGAGGTGGAAGAAGACATGACTTACATTTTAATAAGATCTCTCCGGCTCTTTGGTGATAATAAACTGAAGAACAAGTCTACTTAGGAGGATCCCGCAGTGATCCTGGTGAAAAAAAGCTGCTGGCCTGGTGGCACTAGGAATAGTGAGAAGCGGTCAGTCCTTTGCTGCATGTTTTAAAAGTAGATCCAAAAAGATTTGCAACAGACTGGAAGTAGAGAGATATGCCCAGCTTCTTGATAATATGTAGATTGTTTTTATTGGTTATGAATATTCATGAGATACAAAGCTGATTGTTACCCCTCATGCCCATGATGTGAGAGCCAGATTCATACTGGCAGCACACCCATCACCACAAATTGCATTTGTACCCCTCCCTCACCCAATTATCCCTATCCCCCCTCCTCCTCCCCGTTTCCCTCCCAGTCCACTTTGTAGCCCAAGGAATGTTCTCTCCCTCTGCAAATCCAACACACTCCTATGGTCTTTCCTTCCTTCTTTCTCTCTTAGCTCCCACATGAGTGAGTACATGTGGTATTTATCCCTCTGTGCTTTGCTTATTTCACTCAACATAAGTTTCTCCAAGCTCATCCATGTTGTTGCAAATGGGAGTATTTAATTCTTGTTTATGGCTGAGTAATATTCCATGGTGTATATATACCACATTTTCCTTATCCAATCATCCACTAATGAACATTTAGGTTGGTTCCATATCTTGGCTATCGTAAACAGAGCTGCAATGAACATGGAAGTGCAGGTATCCCTTCGACATGATGATTTCCATTCCTCTGGGTATATACCCAGAAGAGGGATTGCTGGATCATATGGAAGATCTACCTGTAGTTGTTTGAGAAACCTCCATACTGTTTTTCATAGTGGTTGTACTAATTTACATTTCCACCAACGGTGTAGGAATGTTCCCTTCTCTCCATACCCTCGCCAGGATTTGTTATTCACTGTCTTTTTGATTATAGCCCGTCTAACTGAGGTGAGGAGGTATCCCAATGCAGTTTTGATTTGCATTTCCCTGATGACTAGTGATGTTGAGCATTTTTTCATGTATCTGTTGGCCATTTGTATGTCTTCCTTTGAAAAATGTCTATTCAGCTCCTTTGCCCATGTTTTAATTGGGTTATTTGTTTTTTTACTGTATAATTACTTGAGTTCCTTGTATATTATGGATATTAATCCCTTGTCGGATGCATAGTTAGCAAAAATTTTCTTCCACTCTGTAGTTTATTGTTTCACTCTATAATATGTAGAATTAAATTAGAAACTGTAATGATTTAACTGTACCAATCATTTGAAGAAATGATCTTCTTAAATTCCAGACCAGCTGAAGATATTGGCAACATTTTTAACAGACAAGGAATAATTAACCAGAATATATAAGGAACTCCTAAAATAAAAAAAAAAAAAAGAAAAAAGATAAACAAACAAATAGAAAAAATGGTGATTAAAAGAAGAATTTACAATGGACTGTGAATGTAAGAAATAAAGTTCAGCCTCACTAGACATGAGGAAAATGCAAAATAAATTAATGAGATTCCATTATTCTTCTATCAGAGTAGTTAACTTGAAAAAGACTGACAAAATTCAGTGTTGTCCAAGATGTGAGAAAAAAATAGCATAATGTTCTAGTTTACTTCTGGCAGAATCATAAATTGTTATATTCTTTTTTTTTTTCTTCTTTTTTGCAGCTGGCCAGTACTGGGATCCAAACAATTGACTTTAGGGTTATAACACCGCACTACACCAAACTAAGCTAACTGGCCAGCCCTATATTATTCTAATGAGCAATTTACCGTATTTATTAAAAGTGATACTCCATGTATCCCATGGCATAGTGATTCTTCCTGGGGGGTTTACTGGGCTCAAGAAACATATGCACAAGAGACATACTAAAAAGATTATTGCAGAACTTTTTTTTAGAATAGCAAAACTTGGAATGACCTAAAAATCACCTTGAAGGAGGAATAGGTAAATAAAATGTGATAGATTGATAGGATTGAATTCTATACAGCTGTTAAAAAAAAATCAATTGATTTTATAGGCATCAATATGGATGTCTTGTAAATAATATCATGGAAAAAAGCAATAAAAAGGAAAATTTTAAACATACAAACACAATAGTATATATTCATTGTGGATACATATATATGTATGTAAATTATAAACAATGGACTGGTCAAATATGTTCCTAATTTACGGTAGGGAATTTGGGGCAGGGGATGCAGGCCACAGAGAGCATGGAGGGTGGAGGGAAGGACAGGATGTGGTGGTTAAAAGGAAATCTGGTTTTATCAGAAACTTCTTAAGAAAAGAAAAAACAACACTGGAAGCAAATCTGACCAAACAAAAACAGATGCTCATTTCTGGATAGTGGGAATATGTTAATTTGTGCTCATCTGTATTTTTAAAATTTTCTCAAAGTAAAAGAAGGAGGGAGGGAGGAAGGGAAGGGGGAAGGAGGAAGGGGGGAGTCCTTCGCCAGCTCTGGGGTACACTTAAGCTGGTCATAGATGATTGGCTTTTTAAGGATGAAATGCAAAACTATGTTTTAATAACCAGTGGTGATTCCTTCCAAGTTGTCTCGGCTTGGAGGGCTGATTTTAAGTTCAGCCAGCAGAGGGAACCATCTGTCACTTGGAATGACAAGAAGCTCTCTGCCTTGGGAACACCAGAACACCACCAGTAGCCATAATCTTCAGCACATCCCCCCGCCCCTGGAGCCACCAACACTACAGGGAAGAGGGAATGCACATTTACAGACAGAGTAAACTGAGAGTACACCATGGACTTCTTATCAACCTTTCTAAAAAGCTTGTAGCAATTTTCTAGAATCAAGGGAACAATATGCCTGATTAGTTCTTCACAGACTTAGCAATTTTGCTTTTCCTATTTCTCTCCTTGAAGTAAGCTGGCCATTAACCTCGCAGGTTCTAGGGCTTGAGATTAGGTTTTCCCCTACAAAATGGAATCTTTGCTTTTGCCTGATTAGTTCTTCACAGACTTAGCAATTTTGCTTTTCCTATTTCTCTCCTTGAAGTAAACTGGCCATTAACCTCGCAGGTTCTAGGGCTTGAGATTAGGTTTTCCCCTACAAAATGGAATCTTTGCTTTAAAAAAAAAAAGAGTTTGCGTTAGCATAACTCATTTTTGCCACTAATAACCAAAAGATCCTCTTTGAGCCAAGGAGGTCATTTTTTAAAGGGACTAGAATTGTGAAGAATGTTCCTTCCCTTCCTGGAGGGAGAGTCCATGGAGGAAAAAAAGGTTGCAGGGAAGTTTAGTAACCATGAAGTGAAAGCCCAAACTGACCTGAATGCTTCCTCCTGGGGCCCTAAGGCTTTGAAGAAGCAGTTAGCCAAACCCTTAAAGAAAAATATGGCAATCCCAAAATCTTTACATACATGCAACTAGGAGGCAGAAAGAACAAATAAAATGCTGGATTTGCCTCATTTGATTGGCCCCTATCACAGCCCTAATGTTTAAATATCATCCTTTTGTGTGTGCCATCCTACAGATGGGGTTTGGATTAGTTTCTAACAATAAAACAAGCCCAGGGAGAAAGGGAATGTTATGAATAAGTTACCAATGTAAATGTGCTATTTTGTGCCTTTGAATTTGGGTGATGATAAACATGATTCCACCATGAAAATTAGACTTTTCAGAGCTACTATACTGAATCATTTAATTTGTCTGAGTAAGTACTTATAATAATGTGGCTGCTCTGCACTGCAATAAACACTGGATTTTCAAATGAAGTAATGAAGTATGTGATAACTCCTTATCTACAGAACTGCAGCAAAGGGCATTCAGCAAGGGGGCTGGGCACCAGAAGAGGAAGGCCAAAATGCACATCCCTCTCCAGCCCCCTGAAAATAAAAAGAAAAAGGCATATGGCCTCTGGTTCTACATTTTCTGCTCCTGGGTAGAAACATGACTGAAGCCTCACAATGAAATGATGGGGTAACTTCTTACACTATTCAGGACTCATGAGGACACCATCATTCTGTTCCTCCAGATCATACACCTGAGAATGCTTTAGCAAAATTATATACGGATACGGGCCGGCCCGGTGGCGCACGGGATAGTGCGCCGCTTGGGAAGCGCGGCGGCGCTCCCACCCGAGGGTTCGGATCCCACATGCAGACCGGTTCCTGCTCGCTGGCTGAGCGAGGCGCGGGAGCGACGCCGAGGGTTGCAATCCCGTTGCTGGTCCCCGGTCTGGTGCGGGGGCAACACTGAGGGTTGCGATCCGTTGCCGGACACGGAAAAAGACAAAAAGACAAAAAAAAAAAAATTATATACGGA